GAGAACAGTATGTAAAAATCGGTTCTACACAATCTCTAACTTTAAATATATCGAATGGCGTTCCCCAAGGGTCCGTTCTCGGACCGATTTTATTTTTGCTGTATCTGAATGATATATTCAGACTACCAATTCAAGGTCGCTTCACAGCTTTTGCAGATGATAACACTCTTTCTTGGAGAGGGAAAAATTTTGAAACTTTAAAGGACACAGTCTCAAGGGACTTAAAAACAATTAAGGAATGGTGTGACGCAAATTTACTGTGCTTTAATACAAAAAAAACCAACCTCATGACATTCAAATTTATTTACAATGACCTCTACCTAGATGCTCAATTAATTGAAAACAGGTCCAACTGCAAGTTCCTTGGGATTCATGTTGACAGCCAGCTCAAATTTTCCACGCATGTCAACAACCTTAACAATAGACTGGCTAGCGGATGCTATGCCATACGAACTGTATACAACGAGCTTGGCCATAATTCTGCCAAAATGGTATATTTCTCTTTAGTAGAATCTCACATCCGGTATGGCATAGCCTTCTGGGGATGTTGCTCGCAGACACTTTTTGATTCGGTGTTTATTGTACAAAAAAGGGCAATAAGATTTCTGTGTGGAAGAGGATATCGAGATCATTGTAGACCACTTTTCTTGAGACATGAAATTTTGACAGTTTACTGTATTTTTATCCTAGAGACAGCAATTTTAATGCATAAAAAATTTCATGACCAAATAGATCTCTCAAGAACCTACGAAACTAGACAGAAACTAAAAATTTCGTTGCCGATCCCGAGGTCTTCTTTGACACAGAACTCAGTAATTTATAAAAGTAAAAAAATATTTAATCATTTACCTGTTCACCTAAGAGAAATTAAAGAACTAAGAAGGTTTAAAACCGCTTTGAAAAGTTTTTTGTGTAAAAAAGCATATTATAGTTTGCAAGAATTTTTTGATGATAATAGTTTAGGATAACATAGTTTGTATTTTTTGTATAAAAATTTTACTATAAATAAATATTAGGAGATGCTGTTGACCAAAAATTTTATTTTGTGTTTTGTTTTTTTTAGCTACTGTATTGGATATTTTTAATTTTATGTATTTATTTTGACTGTTGTAATTACGTTATTTAGTCACTTGTTTAAATGTTTTACTCTAGTATTTAGGAACTAAAGCTTTGTCAATGGAAAATTATTTTTGTTTTTCGGACAATAAAGTATATTTTGATTGATTGATTGACTATCCTGTTAAAAACTGAAGACTACAACCGGAAAATTCAGGAACTCCTTGATCCATCTACTTACCGAAAGCTAAAGAAGGATCCCACACAAGCCAGACTCCGAAATAGGCACCAATAAACTGATTAGGTAATCTACCCTAACAGACAGGGTTAAGAAAAGGCATCATAAAAACAGAAGCAGTTCCACCACGACTCCATGGCCTACCCAAAATTCACAAACCGGAAGTCCCACTAAGACCTATAGTGAATGCGCCTGGAGCACCAACGTACAACCTAGCGAAACATCTTGCATCGCTTCTTCAACCGCATGTAGGAAAAACTAGCTCTTAGATCAAAGACTCCACTCACTTTGTCCAGAAAATTAGGAATATTATTCTTCAACCTAACGATATCCTGGTCAACTTTGATGTGTCCCAATTCACAAAAGTGCCATTGACAGAATCTCTTGACTTGATATCAAGTACCTTCCCCAATGATATAGTTGAGCTTTTCCGGACATGTTTCACTGATAGATACTTCCTGTCGAACGGCGATTTCTACGAACAAACCTACGGTGTAGCCATGGGAAGTCCGCTCAGCCCGTTCATAGTCAACTTCTTTATGGAGGAATTCGAGAGGATTCTATAGCTTTAGAATCTTTTGACCACAAACCAACGGTATGGCTTCGATACGTAGATGATACTTTTGTGGTTTGGAGTCATGGTGAAGAGAAGCTTAAACAATTCCTAGGCCACCTGAACGAGCAACATCCTAGCGTAGAATTTACCATGGAAAAGGAGAAAAACCAAGAAATCGCCTTCTTAGATGTGCTCATAAAGAAATCTGGAGGAAAACTGAGCCACACGGTGTCTACACACACAGACAGGGTACCTTAATGCACTCTCAAATCACCATCCAAGGCAAAACGTGGAATTATAACAACGTTAACAGAACGTGCTTGGAACATCTGCGACAGAGTCATGCGACCCAAAACTGCCACACGACAAAACGTAAATGAACAACCAGTGGTGGCTAAAGCATATCTGCCTTCCATTTCTCGGGTGATAGACAGGATAGGGAAATACTTGAAGAAACACAACATAAAAACAATCTTCAAGCCAACAAGGAAAATACAGCAATCGATCAGATCAGCCAAGGATGAGTGGAACCCAGTGTCAAGCGCTGGACTCTATCGTATACCATGCACATGTGGTAAGGTATACATAGGAACAACAAAAAGATCTATGGGAACCAGGATGAACGAACACAAAAGAAACTGCAGACTATGACAATCGGAAAAATCGGCAGTTGCGGAACATGCGCTTAGTGAAGGGAATCATGAAATATTCTTTGGTGCGGTCAAGCTTCTTGCACCGACTTCCGGATACCACAATCGTCTTGTACGTGAAACTATAGAAATCCACGAACATACAGAGAACAGGAAAGAAGAAACACTTAAACTCAACCAAATCTGGAACCCGATTCTCAAAAACGCAAGAAAGATCCTACTGAGTACAGAGAAAGTTGAGATTAGCCAAGTGATGCGAAGCACCGCCCCTCCCCCACCACAGCCACTCACACATAAATACAACTTAGGGTCGGGAACGCATCAGTCTGCTACCAGAATTGGACATGGAAGCACCTTTAAAGATGCTAGCCACGCGTGCTAACGAAACGTCAGGAAGAAATTCCAACTTACGGCGGCCATTAAGCCCGAATGAAAACCCTTTATCAATATAGGTAGTACCAAATGAAATTTTTCGTTTGCACTGAAAGCGACGAATTTACCTTCCTTCTCTTCTGTTCATTTACCAAATCTTCATGAACTTGATATGAAAACGGCCTGGAATCTCAATAAAAATACATTTTGTAGGTAATTTCATTCTCTTTCAAAAGAGATATGACTCGAAACGATCGGTTGAGATATAGCGGAGCTATAAGCGAAAAAGTGGCCTCGTGTCGGGTACCACCAAATTTTTTTCTGGTCAAATTCGACATTTCCTTTTTTATTTTTTTCCGGCCTTAAGATACATCGTTTTGAATACATCGTAGCAAGCTGTATAAACTTTTCGACGTATTTTTTGGTTCTCTTTCCAACGTTTTTTTTTTTTTTTTTTCGAAATTCGAATTTTGAATTTATTCGACAAAAAAACCCAAAGGATCTTATAGCCTTTGAATTTTTTTTTAACCCACCGTATTCATATAGGTCGATGAAGGCCGTTCCACCCTATTTAACCTTCGGACATAGAGGGGAAAAAAGCCGGTTCCACACTGTGAGTGAAATGGAGGCCGGACTCACATCTTTCGTCTTGCGGACATTGGGGGAATAAAGGCTGGTTCCACATTGTGGCTGAAATGAAGGTCAGACTCACATCTTTCGTCCTGCGGACATTAAGATAATGAAGGCCGGTTCCACACTGTGGGTGAAATGGAGGCCGGACTCCCATCTTTCGTTCTGCGGACATTGAGGGAATAAAGGCTGGTTCTACATTGTGGGAGAAATGAAGGCCGAACTCACATCTTTCGTCCTGCGGATATTGAGGGAATACAGGCCGGCTGCCTTATTCTGTAACTTGCGACCGCAGAGAATTGCGCAATAGTCGCTGTCAAGTCGCTGTCAAACGCGAGTTTTCTATTGAAAAAAAGCAACTTGCGACCGGTTGCTGGTTGCTATGTAATTGCTGATCATAGAGAATAGGCCTGCGGTTCCATACTGTGAGTGAAATGGAGGCCGGTTCCACACTATTTAACCTTCTGGCATGGAGGATGTGAAAGCCGGTTCCACACTGTGGGTGAAATGGAGACCGGATTCACATCTTTCGTTCTGCGGACATTGAGGGAATAAAGGCTGGTTCCACATTGTGGGTGAAATGCAGGCCTAACTCACATCTCTCGTACTGCGGACATTGAGGGAATAAAGACCGGTTCCATACTGTGAGTGAAATGGAGGCCGGACTCACATCTTTCGTCTTTCGGACGTTGAGGGAATAAAGGCCGGTTCCACACTGTGAGTAAAATGAAGGTCGGTTCCACACTATTCAACCTTCTGGCATGAAGGAGATGAAAGCCGATTCCACACTGTGGGTAAAATGGAGGCCGGACTTACATCTTACGTCCTGCGGACATTGGGGGAATAAAAGCTAATTCCACATTGTGGATAAAATGGAGGTCGGACTCACATCTTTCGTCCTGCGGACATTAAGAGAATAAAGGCCGGTTCGACATTGTGGGTAAAATGGAGGCCGGACTCATATCTTTCGTCCTGCGGACATTGAGGGAATAAAGGCCGGTTCCACACTGTGAGTTTAATGAAGGTCGGTTTCAAACTATTTAATCTTCTGGCATGGAGGAGATGAAAGCTGGTTCCATAGCATTGGATAGAACCAAACACTTTAACACCAGACTCCATAGAGCCACAGAGCCATAGAGATACAGAAACATCACAACAACTTCAACGGTTAAAAAGAGGGCATGAACCTCAACAAAAGCTGATTGCCAGTTCTCCGAAAAAACAAAGAACCTTCCTTTCTGAGAACGAGACAATGAAAATAGCGAAAACAGCCACGCCCACAACCCTAGATATAAATAACGCAGGTCCAAGAACGTCGAATCTAGTCATCGGAGGAACACGGAAGAGAACACTTCGTCCTCTACCACAGCGACTCTGACCACGGCATTATAGCCCGGAAAAAAACTTTATTACTACACATAGAATGGTGTGACTACGGTTCTATAATTTGAGAAATTTTTTATGCCAGTAAGTAATTTTGACATTATGTCATCAGAAAATGTCCGAAAACCCAGAAAAGTCGCCGTCTCAAAGTAAAGGCATTAACAATGAAGAAAATCCGGCCCCGATCACCAGTCGGCAAATCAATAACATCATCGAATTCCAAGGACCCAGCACCTCCAACAATAACTATTCCTTCAAGACAGAAATTCGGATCAATATTATGGGCGAACCTCGGATAAGTCAACGATCCGTGGACTCCGATGATTCGTCGTTTATTTTGAGTTTGTTTGAAGACAAAATCAATAAAGGTAATATAGACAAAATTATGTTTTATTCGTGTTAAAGTTGCGTATGCCTTTCTCAGATCCTATAGAGCCAGATGAAAGTTACGTAACATTAGACACTTGCCTCAAAGAGAAAACCACCAATACCTTATTGGAACCAGTTGTTTTGTTTAGCAGAAACGACAGAACCCAAAGAGTGATAAATATATTATGCATTTTTAATTAAGAAAATAACTTATTTTTTATAGACAATTTTAAGTCAAAGTGAAGCTCCACCACCGTACGAAAGCCACCCACCCCCAGCATACCATATTTCAGGCCAAGAAATGGATTCAGTATTTTACCATTCCTGCGAATCTTTGGAAATTCCATTTGGCGAAATAAAAACCCGTCATACCTTTGTCCAAAAGGCATTTTTCATGGTCTTTGGGCAACTGTTCTTAACCACCTCCATGATTCTGTTGGTTATGTACCACAACTCATCCAAACAGTTTATTTTATATCAAAAATCACTGATGTGGGTATTGCTAGGCTTGTTCATTAATATTTTCTTATCGTTGATTTTTGTCCAGGCTTTGCGCAAGACTTTTCCAGTGAATTTTGTGTTTTTCCTGTTGTTTACCATTAGCCTGTCATACTTGTGCGCAGCAGCGACGGTGATTCTCGATACAAAAATATTTTTAGGCGGCGCAGCAGGTACAGGCATTATTTGCCTTGCAGTAATACTGTTAGCATTTCAAACACAGTTTGATGTAACCAACTGGAGTTTTATCGTGACCATATTAACATTACTTATATTTCTGTTTGGGGTCGTAACAATGGGCTTTCATATGTTTCTCAATTGGAACATTTTATGGATGATTTATTCAGGGTTAATAGTTGTAATTTTGACTATGTTTTTACTATATGACATGCAATGTATTTTGGAAGGAAACCGTGATTCAATATCGCCAAATGAATATATTTGTGGAGCTCTTAATTTATACACGGACACAATTAAAATATTTCCACGTATGTTTCGCTTATCAAGTTCTGTTAATCGATCATTACATCAATAAAGGTGACTTATTATAAATTGTTTTTGTAACTTACCCCATTCTGTTAAATAAGTAGCCAAGTGCCTGAAATATATACTGATGACAAGCACCAAAATAGTATACACAATACTAGGAACCATTATAAGATAATCATTAGGTTCTTCCATTTGCTTAACGTAATCTTCGGCCCAAAACGATACGAGCATCAAGTAAAAGGCCAAAATCATACAAACTATAACGATCGGAAGAGACACTGCATACATCTGAAACAAAATTTGCAATTAGTATAACATTGTTTCTCTTAAACGGGCGAAGAAAATTTTAATTTTGACCATCAACCTCCAACTTCGACCCAGAGTTTGGATCGTAGTTGAAAAGTTAAATACAACTGTCGACTAAATTAAGCAATTAAAATGGAAATTTGCATTAATTCAGGAACGGTAACAACTACGCTTTTAAAACGTTATGTTTCTACCAGTTGTTAGTGCTTCGGGCACGAAACTTATTATAAACGATGCAAGGTTTTATTGAATTTTGTAGTAGTTTTGTAAGGGTCAAACTAAGCCCCTGTCGATATTTATTTTTTTCCATTAGAAATGCTGTTTTATAATCTTCTTTCCTCAACTTCCAGGTGACAGATTCATTTTAAAAATATGATTCATGGCCCATACAAGTTTCGGCATCCTTTGAAAGATAAGGCCCCACATGACAGATTATTGTAGGCACTTGATTGCGCAACTTTTTTCCCATTTGGTCCACCCTGTATCTTTAATGGTTCCCAAAATCCTCATGTACTGAAAGTTATACCGGAAACCCTGTATAGTAAATGCCAAGCCAAACAACGCATGTCATAGCCCTTAAGTGACGTATAACGGGGGCCGCATTGCCAAATTGTGATGGAAGGAAGTGAAAGTAATGTTGCAATTTTGTCGGTTTATTAGTAGGTAACTTGAGGTATAATGTATATTCAATTCTCATGTTATAAGCCTGTAAAGACAAAGCCCATCGAGAATCGGCCACTAGGTGATTTTGAAGACATTAACCACTTCAATGGCTGGTGATCAGTCTGCATAATGAATTTAACTCCATCCAGGTAGCCTCCAAATTTCTCCACAACCCACACAACTGCTAGAGCTTCTCTTTCTGTAGTGTGATAGTTCATCTCAGCAGGTGCGAGTAGTCGGCTTGCATATTCAACAGGTCCTTCTTCGGCCTTCTCCCCTAGGAGTAAAACTGCCCCTAAAGCGTATAAACTAGCATCAGGCAATTTACCTACTATCAGCCTGTCGGAGTAAGGGATTAGTAATCAAAAGTTGTTTCGTAAGGTTGAAAAAATTTTGTTCTTTCTTCTCCCATTTCCAAATAGCTTTCTTCTCGGTTAAGGAGATTAAGGGCATTGAAACTTCTGCAAATGAAGAAATGAATCGCCGGAACCAAGAGCATGGTTGGACAAAGGACAAAAGCTCTTTCACATTTTTGGGAGATGGTCTCTCCAGACCAGAATAGCGGTGATTTTAGAAGGATCTAGTTGGATTCCTTGGGGTGTAATTACGTGTCCCAAATACATCCCACAGGAGCACACAAAATGGCATTTGGATCGATTGAGGTGAAACTTGAAAGCTACAAGTCGGTAAAAAACTCGTTGTAAATCAGAAAGGTGTTCTTGGTAAGTTCTGGATAATACAATCAAATCGTCTATATAAGCTAATATGGTCAAATCTTGGAGTCCGGATTTGAATCGATCAATGAGTCTTTGGAAGGTGGAGGATGCATTTTTCATTCCAAATGGCATCCTCGTATAACGGAAAATTCCAAATGGGCAAATAAATTCTGTTTTATCTCGATCAGATTCGCGGACAGAGACTTGATGGTATCCTGATTTTGAATCAACAGTGTCCATATACTTTGTTTGTTTTGCAGTGTATAATAGATCGTGAGTATTTATCGGAAACTGTTTTCTCATTTAGGCGTTGATAATTGACACAAAGGCAAATACTACCATCAGGTTTAGGTACTAGAACAACTGGAGCAGCATACGGGAATTCGCATAAACGCAGCACAAGTACTACCTACTTCGAGACTTCTTTATCGATCACGAAAATGGAGATCCAATTTCGAAGAAGACACTTTTCTGGAGAAACTCTTGGTTCATTTTGGTCATCCAAAAATGATCGTTTTTCCTCTCCAATAATTAGTTCTCCACTAATTTACCAAACATTACCAAATTTTTGATCCGTTAGGGCTTCTTGGACGAGTAATTGTAGTGGCAAAAATTATGTCACAATCATTTTGGCTTTTGAAGTTATCATGGAACCAAGACTTACCTGACGATCTTTCTGAGAAATGGTAAAATTTCAATTCACATCTTGTGGAACTTAAAGACCTACAAATTCCACGTTTTGTATCCTGTCTTTCCTTGGAACTTCATGGCTTTTCAGACGCCTCACAGAAGGTTTACAGACGTTGTATCTATCTCCGAATAATCGATTCTGATCAGACTGTCCATGTTAAACCACTGAGTTCAAAAAGTCGTGTATTGCCAGTGTAACGAAGTTACTAAATTTTCCGTGCACTCAATTAGTTAAAAATTAGAGCGAGTTCAACCAACCGGGTTTTATGAGACTCACCCCGGAGTGGAAGTAAATTCTGAGAGGGGCTGCAACTCGCTGCAGTTCCCCGCGATCCTTACTGTATCCACACTGCTTGCTACGAACTCCGACCAGACCAGCCACTAGCCAAGGTACGCCATCACCAGCTCCGTTCTCCGCCGCCTTCAGCCCGCCGCGACGCTGTCAACGATGGTATAGAGTAAAGTAGAGTAAGAAGGCAGGTATTTTCTTCTAAAAGGCGAGGTACTTTCACTTGCAGATAGCGATATTTATTCTCCAGATTAGAGAATATCCTAGAGATAAGAAAAACGAGTGTATTTTCACTTCCGTATAGTGATATCTATCAGATAAATGCGGGCTAACCTTTAGTTAACGTATCCTGTGGTCAGACCTAAGAATAACCGGTTTTATCTGCCGAATAGCTCCTCACGCAGTGTATTTACTCTGATTTAGGTGACAACACAGAATTCTGACCTAATTTTCTAAAATTTGTGTTTGTTTGAAAAATTCATTGAATAGGTGTTTTTTTTTTGTTATTTACAATTTCATTTTTGTACTTAGTATTTCAAATTTCAATATTTGCTTTTGAAAGCCCCTTGCTGATGATACCCTTCAAAACATGGCTGGGGATGGAATAGCAAAGGGAAAAAACTCAACACATTTCTCTAAAGTTTAAAAGTTTTATTATTTGTTAGAATGGATATTTTGGAAGATTTCGATATACCTTAACCTTCCATTAGGCGCGCGAGTTTTATAACATCATCAGTCGATTGAGGAGCACGATGGTTACAAGAATAACCGCGTTGTATCAGTCAGGTACAAAGCCGAGCGCACCTGAAGTTTTTTGGAAATTCCAAATTTCCAGGTAGAGGTACGACCATGTAATTTTGGGAAAAAATTATTATACGGTGCCTAAGGACTACTAGAAGCCATAAATATTATAAGGTTTTTCCTTTTTGATTTATTTGCAAAAATAATAGGTATGTATCTCTCAGATACACGCGCGACTAATGGAAGATTTATCAGCCACTCCCCACTCCCACTACACGATACAAAAATTATTTAACATAAACGCACCTTCTCTCTCCAAAAAAACATAAACAAATGAATGTCAAACTTAAATCCACCACAAATTAGTCAAATGACAAGTGGAATGCGGCGGCACGATAAAAACAAGCAACTTATAGACAAGAGATATATTCTATCTTTATCTGAAGCATTTAACTTCCCATAAGTGTTTCTTACTTTTCTTTTTTTTTTGGTTGGCATTGCCGAAATACTGAAGGTACCAGCAACGGATTGTTAGCCCGGGGATAATTTTACCTGAAAATACCCCTCGGAGATATACTACAGATAGCAACCTCTGGTTTACTTATCCGATAGATAGTTATTCGCCGAATAAATTATATTTATTTATACTGAGGTGAAATTACCGGGCCTAAGGGGTATAAGGATCATAGATTGTATAAGGTTGCTGCGGGCCGATTACAGGGCACTCTATCCTTTCCATAACTGCCGGACTGATTACGAGGGTGCAGCCTTACTTCTATCCTTATACACATATATATAGACACTTCTTTCTTTGTCATATTTATGGGAAACATGGATTGCACGAGGTTGCTGCCAGACCAATTACGGGGCAATCTAATCTCTCTATGACGAACCAAGATAGCGTTTGCCGGATCGATCACAGGGTATCTCTCTTGGTTCCATTTCCATACTTATGTCATATCCTGGACTGCGGATTGAATAGCGTTGAGGCTCCATTCTCTCCGTAGGTGGTAACGTCTCCGACCGAATGACGCATCCCTTTAATTCTGTCCTCTTTTCTTCGAACCTGCACTCTACTCGGTTGCATAGTTCGCGCATGCGCCTGCAAATACGAGCTGTAGGTGGTAGGAGTACGGCAGCCTAGCCGTTCATTCTCCCTGCTCTTCGTCTCTCATTCAATTACATTTTCACTGTTCCTTATATCTTACTGTTATTGGGCAAATAAAAACTTTAATCTGTTAGTTGGATTGTGTGTTTCATTTTGGGGATGCGCATATTCACTCCTGGTTTTACGACTCCGCTGTAACAAGCTACCTGGAGCACGTGGGCCATTAACCACTATAATCCTAAGGGTGGCGCCCGAGTTTTCCGAAAACCCCTTAACCGTCCGGAAAACCAAAATAGCGCTACACCAGTTAAGTCCCTCACAGTACACAAATTGGAACTTAGTGCAGCGCTTCTTGTGGATTCGAAAACCTCCGCATACATTGCAAAACGAGTAGTACAAATCCAGTCCTCGACAGATTCTGAAAATTGGCATTATGTACCAACAGATTCAAAGCCAGCTGATTGTCTTTCTCGGGGTTTATCCACATAGCAACTTTGACACTTAAACATTTGGTTCAACGGACCTTCCTTCAGAATAAAACAAAGACGTTTGATCTCTGAATGTTTCAAGATTAAATCCAATTCCTTTATGGAAGACTGGAATGCATGCACAAGTGTTTCATCGACAAACATTTTGTTTTGAAAAACTGAATTTAAACATGGCAGCCAATAACGCGGCCTTAATCTACGATTATCCTTTTTTTTCAAGTTTCAAGGTCAAGTATGAACCCTGGTGAAACCAGGCCCGACGAGAGGACATTACAGGCGGTACAAAT